AGACGAGCCACACCCACATGTCGGTGGGCAGCGGATGTCGAGGAGCTTTGTGTCAAGGCTTGGCTGCAGGATGTGTACCGGGCCCTTGGGCTTCAAAGGGATGCCCCAAGGCCAAGGCCCAAAGGAGGCTTGCTGGAAGAGCTGTGGCAAAAACATGACATGAACAACACATCAGATATCATCAGATCATCAGCTCCTGGCATCTCAACCCGGCTGCTTGTAGCTCAACAGGTCTTGAATTGAGCCCGAGCCGGTGGCTCGCTGCGGAATCCTGAGGATCAGCACCGGTTCAAAGACATGGCCAAGATCTTCAAGGGCCTGTGCCGGAACTCTCAGCCATGTGCGTTTCAGAAGGTTTTCTCAGTTCCCTCTGGTGGTGGTTAGGCAGGTCCTTTGTTGCTTGTGTAAAGGGAATACATATATATATATATGTATGTATATCACTGGAAAGAGGCTCCCATGTTTTCCCGGAACCTTGAGCAAATGGAAGTTGTTCCCGTCGAACCCACGAAAAATCGAACCGAGCCGGGCGGAGCTCCGGCGGAGCCTTGCAGCCGGGCGGGGCCGGGCGGGGTGTGAGGCATGAGCGGCTTGTGGGGCTGCTTCGATGAGTTCAATCGCATCGAGCTGGAGGTGCTCAGCGTGGTGGCCACCCAGGTGGAGTCCATCATGCAGGCGCCGGCGCGTTTCGGTTTTTGGACCGGGGGAGAGAGGTTGCGGCGAGTCGGGGGGGGGGGGGGCGGGGAAGATCTTGATTTTCCCTGATTTGCTGCCCAAAATGTTTTTTGTGTTTGGGATTGTGTGGCAGGAAAGGTTTTTTTTGCCTAATCCTGGCACGGCTAACCCTGACAGGCCCGGTTGGTTGGTTGGTTGGTTGGTTGGTTGGTTGGTTGGTTGGTTGGTTGGTTGGTTGGTTGGTTGGTTGGTTGGTTGGTTGGTTGGTTGGTTGGTTAATTTATTGGTTGGTTAATTTATTGGTTGGTTAATTTATTGGTTGGTTGGGTTGGTTGGGTTGGTGGGTTGGTTGGGTTGGTTGGGTTGGTGGGGTTGGTGGGTTGGTTGGTTGTGCCCAGGTTAGCTGGTTGGTTGGTTGGTGGTTGGTTGGTTGGTTGGATAGTTGGTTAGTTGGTTGGTTGGCGGATTGTCGTGTCGCTTGAATTTGTTGGCTTCTTGGCCTTTTGGGCTTCTCAGCGTCTGAGAGCACCTTGTTTGTAATCATGTATTTTTTTCGTTACAAGTGTCCTTATTTGTTTCCTATTGCGGAAAAAGGGGGGGCTGCTCCCTTCTGCTCTCTTCGATGCGCCTCTGGCGCGTCTGAGCGGGGTGTCGCCTCCTGCGTCTCTCGAGGCCAAGAAGCAGAACGCCAAGACCTTCCTCTTCCCAGGGGAGCCCTATCCCATCAAGCTGGTCCCGCCCGGTCCCTGCTGGCTTCAGGTGCCCGTCCAGGGAAGACATCCTCAGCAACGGAAGGGACACACCCATAAGTCAGCTTGAGAGTTGTCCAACTGGGGACAAGGTTTACACTTGCTGTTTAGCCACCAGGTGAAACAACCTCAGGGCTCACCTTAGGTGGCCAATGCATAAGGCTCCAGCTCCAAGGGGCCAGTTTCCCACAGTAAAATCGAATCAAATTGAGGGGTCACTGGATTTCTCTGAACAAAATGAATCAATTTACGGGGGGGGGGGGTTCCCTTAAAAAGATCGCCTCTTTTGGAGGTGCCAACAAAAGGAAATCGAGGAAACCCTGTCGGACCATTCCTGACTCCTCAGGAGCTTTTGGGTTTTCCTGGGTCCAGACAGATGGGGGCAATCAGGCCCCTATTTTGGCCCGACAACTTGTATTCGGGCATGGTAATTGGGCGTTTAGGTTTTAGGTTTTTATCAGGGAGATACCCTCTTTGCAACAATCATGGAAGTGGACGGAGGGGTCCCTAAGAGGAAAGTTGTCTTCCAAACCCCTTCTATCAGCTTCTATGATTGCTGGGGGGAGGGTGCCCTTGCTTCCCAACATGAAGAGCTTTGGAGCATCCTTTTGGAGGCCAGTTCCAGTGGGAAGACCGCGTAGCCCGCGCGAGGTCGGTGGGATACTTCATCACCATGAACCCGGGCTACGTGGGGGGCCTCAGGAGTGCAATGATCAGATCGAGGTTTGGTTTGTAGTTGTCGCATGTTTAAAGAATATCACAATTGCCAAACAACTTTCACCTTATGAATCCTACTTTCCTCCGGCGCAAAACCCCAAAACCCCACGAGGATGAATAATTCCGAAAAACAACAAAAGTCTCAAGAAGCGACTCAGTGGAAAAGCACCCAGGCTCAAAGAAGCATCGGATAGGCTGCAGCTAAAGTGAATCGACAGGATCCAAGCTTGTCTTCACTGTACGCATGTTGCTTGTTGAAGTTGGTTGCTTGCCACCTGCTTGTTGGGTTGATTGTAATTGGTGGTTGCCTTTTCAGTTGCCATCTGCTTTCTGCAATCAGTTGGTTGTAAGCTGAGCAGTTGCTTGCGTCTGCTCACTTCAAAGATGTCATTTTGGGGGCTGCCACCTTGTTGATACATTTCTAGTCGTGGCGTTTGTCATGGACCCGAACGCCTCCCCCGACCAACACGTAAGCCCAAAGCAAGAATCAGGAGACTTTACTTCGAAGGGTGCTTCCGCGCTTTGAGGTTTCGTGAGTTTTAGGAGAGTTTTCCTCAATCTGTTGGAGCATGACTGGTTCACGGTTTCTTTGTTCGGAGGTTGTGTGTTTATCATTTGGGTTCCCGCCTAGCCAAAAAATCCATCTTCCAAATGTGAGGATTTGGGTTCCCGACCTAGGATCACGTTTCCTCACTTGACCTGCAAGAAAAAGTGATGTCCCTTGATTGAACAAACCCCCACATGGAAGCTGTAGAAGAGAGACACCCACAAAATACCTTCCTTTGCGTCTTGGATGAACCCCCTATTGCTTTGAACAAGAAAGGATCACCCCCCTCATTTGCATCATTGGCCCCACCTGGTTTTGGCCAACTTCCCGTTTTTCAAAGCCGCCTTTGTTTGCTGGTTCCAGGCCTTCTTGCCTCACCTTCCCTGAGCTTCTCTTGCTCCAACGGCCGGCACGGCCCCACGTGCCCTGCCCGTTCAGCGGCGGAGGCCGGGCGGCAAGAACTGCCGGAGAACCTCAAGGTGCTCTTCCGCAGCGTTCCGGCGCCCAGCTCCCGCTGGCGCACGGGGTGGTGGTGGGATTTTGGGGGCACCAGGTGGCCAGAATCCAGACACCCAGTGGGTGGCATGTCCATTCATGTCTTTTTTTTGGGAGGGGGTTTCCTTTTAAAAATCGACTCCAACGAAAACTTAGCCCTGCTTGCCCGCTGCGGAGTCATCTACTGTAACTCCAACAATTTATGGGCAAAATCAGAAAACCTTGCTTGTTAACTCTCTGAATTCCTCGGACATCTTCGGACTACAACCAGTTACCTAACATCGTCCCCTTTGCACGAGGCTCATGTTGTAAGCCCTATATTTCGCTCCTGTGCCATCCCTAAATGACATCGAAGGACTAATTAGGGTGGAGTCGAGCAGTTCATAGACGGAGCAGCAATTCTCAAGATGCACCTGGAAACCACGTTGCGGGTCAGAGGCACTGTGCTGACCCTCCTTTTTTCTATTGGGCCTCCTGGCAGATTCCATCAAAGAGGGCCAAATATATGCTCATTGAGACTGTCCTGAACCGACCCTGCACGTTCTGGGATGTGGGTCGGCCATTTAAGGTTGGGATGTCTAATGCAAAAAGGAGGCTGCAACCCACCGAATCAAAGATTACTGCCCCTTTCAGATTTCAGTGCCCATTTTGAGAAATCAACATTTGAGCCAATTTGATTCATCTTTCAGACTGAGAGCCTACCAGTTGAAAAGAGCCGAAGCCCGCTTCGACGATTTGGTTTGTCGAGGTGCCAAGAAAAGGAACGGCTTTCTCGTGAGCAGCGATTGAGGTCTCAATGATGGTGCCGCCCGCGCCTCAGCCTGCCAGCGGGGCAAAGGTCAGAGATTGCGACCATAGGTGTCCGTTTTAGGTCGTTCGTTTGAAAGTCCATAGGACTGTTGGTTTTGGGGTTCTAGTCATATAAAATCCATTGGGTTTGTCCAAAAGGACACGTAGGGTACCCAAGGCTCTGAGACCTCTCAGCATTGCTGTAAGGTACAGCATTGTTTTGTTGCTGCTGCTTTTGAAAATGCATCCATCATGCGCACAAGGCCGGTTGGATGAGCGCCGTTGCCTCTCTTTTTTTTTCAATCATGGAAGCTTGTCGGCCTTGGGTCCCGCTCCACGAAGGTAGGTTGTGCGTGCTTGGCGTGCCTTTCTTTGCAGATGCACCTTCTTTCCCTATGTTTTTTAAAGGGGGGGGCCTTTGCTTTAAACGGGATCAAAACGAAAACCACCCATTTTGGAGGTTTCCCCATTTTGAGACAACGCGAAATGGGTTTTCAGCTTAGAGTATGTCTTCCGAGTATTGATTCTGTTCCTTTGTAGTGGCTGGCAACAAACTATTCCGAGAGTAGGGTGCACGTCGCTGAAGCGCTGCGCGCCTCAAGGCTGTAATGCCCGAAAAGCACCGAGCCCAAAGAGGCCTCAGGGCACTAGGATGCGGTTCCGCACTTTAAAACGACAAGTAAGCCACTTCCGTGAGCAGTGTGTGGATTTCTCTAGGCCTCCTTCTGGGTTGGAAGTTGGTGCACCAAACAAAGAACTGGCTAACAAGCAAACAAGCAAAACAGAACCAAACACGGGCGCTTCCGAGCTGGGGCGGCCAATCCGTGCTGAACAAATTGCCTTTCAATTCCCCACCCCCCAAAAGGACAGACAAAGGGCACCCGCAAAACGAGCGTCCCCCAACTCCAACAAGGGGCTGACAAAGCATGCACCAGGAACAGGGAAGCCAAGGCCACAGGCTTAGGGCGCCGAAGTTTGGCCAAGGAACAAGGGGGTCGCACTCAAACAAGCCAAGCAAAAAGGTTGCCCCATCCCCAAAGCTCCCCTCCTTGGGGAGGGCTGCAGCCGACTCATGCGGCCATGCGCTGCGCGTCCTGCGGCCGCGAAGACCCCCCCGCGCGGTGCAGCCGATGCCTGTCCGCGTGGTTCTGCGGGCCCGAGTGCCCCCTGGTTGCGTGATCGACTGGAAAGAGGTGGCAGAAGGGAAAGGGGGAACATGACGAAGTGAGGAAATTGGTTGGCTCTTAGGATTTGTCGCAGCCCGCAAAGAAGCAGTTTGTGAACTTGCAGGGCCATGCCCTTCCATTGCCTTGGCACACCCCATGTTGTTGGGAGAAATGGCCCAAACCATGCCTCAGCGGAAACTTATTGACATCAACTCGTTGGTATGTTGACTGTGATTACTGTGGCTGTGGGGGGAAACAGCCCACCAGAGGAGCCCAACATGCAGTTCCCTGAGTGCATGGCGGGCCAAACACGCAGCCTTTGAGTGGAAGAGGGTTTGATTTGAACTTGAAGTACTCGGAATCCACCACCAGGTGGTTGCTTTTTGTTTATGAAACCCGTTCCCCCCCAAAAAGGCGAGGTGCCGGTTCGCAGGTTCGACCATCGCTCTCTGCTGAGGTCAGAGGGCGGCCTGGCGAGAGCACAGGCAAGGGGCTCCATGAACTACCCTTCCACAGATTCATATGGAACCCCCCCCCAAAAAAAAACAAAAAACAAAGATCTACTCATTCGTAGAGGAAACTTCAGAAAGGGGGCACCCCTTCTGTTGTTGTTTTTGCGGGGGAGCAGTTAATACGCAAGCTTCATCAAGTTACTTAGGCTTCCCTTGACAATTTGTTGATTTTCCATGGGTTTGTTCAAGGGTATCCAATGTTTTTTTTTGGTTTAGGAGGATCCCCCAGAAAATAACGAACCCCTTTAGCACTTGATGTTGCCAGGGAGAAGGGATTCCCACGGGGTACATACAATTTGAGCCACTTGATGCATCACAACTGGCAAAAGAGACATCAGGACCTCCCTCCCCCTAAAACGGTTCTCAGCTCAGAACCATTCTAAAACTTTATAATTTCTTGACAGGTCCAAAACGCCACGCCTGCTTTACAGGAGCCTCTAAATCAGCTGAAGGCAATTTTTCCACTGGCCCAAATTTGTGTCCTTTAAGAAACCCAAAAGAAAGTTCCCTTCAATCATTTCCTATGCCTCAAAAGGCAGTCTGCCGACAGGCCCCTTTGCAAGCTCAGCGACTCGAAAGCCGGACAAGCCGAGGGTGAGAGGCGGGACCCGACAGGCGCCTTGAATTTGGAAGGCGTTTAGTGCCCTGAGTTGCATGTTGGGTGGTTCACAGTCGCCCAAGATCCTAAAGCACTGCTTTCCCTGAATGAGGGAATGACCGACCCGAAAAACTGAAGCATCCAGTGGGGATCTCTGGCGTCATTCCCTCGCAAGGTGATTGCCTGATGAGATCCACCAAGTTTTTATGGGATGCTTCCGGCGGCTAAAAGATAAACAAAAAGGACGTGAAAATAGGCATGGTTCCCCCCCCCCCAAAAAAAAAAAAAAACTTGTGCCGGTCGGGTCTTCGGAGCAGCCTTTGTTTGACAAAAGCCAAGGGAAACCGAAGCTCATGTCGGGAAACCCTTACTTGGAGATTTGGATTGGAACCCTGCTTCCCTTGAACACAAATGAGGTAGCACCTAAGGTCCACACCACCAATCCAAATGGCTAGGGGTAGGGCGATTTACAGGGGAACACTATACTTTGTGAGGTCTTTTTTTGACAAATACCCAGTACTGATGATAACCCCTGTGTCTCGGGTGCGACCGGGTATCCGCTACATCTCAGATGGTAAATGGAATCTTGCACCAGAGGTGCCCTCTGGTTCGTCAGATTGTTCGCCTTTGCTTGGAAAATGCCCTCCTGATTAACATAGAAAGCCAGCACTTGGAAGCTCCTTCTGGGTGGCCTCCATGATAATTTCAGGGGAGTGAGCGGATTATTCTCATGATGCAAATGATGACCCACTTTTCTTTTTGCCAAGAGGGAAAAGACACGAGCCCAGTGACGGACTCGCGCAGTTCTCGCAAAATGGAAGTAGTGACCCAACTAAGCAGATCGACATGTTCAGAAAGTCTAGGCCCCCGTGCTTAGCGTGGAGCGACATCGGCCCCTGACAAGTAACGTCAGTTTTGTTGTCATGAATCAGGGGTTTCCTTTGCAGGAGAAAGACACCTCCACACAGGAGCGCGCCTTCTTAAAACTCGGTTTGCATGTTCAAAAGGGCATGAATTTGAAGTTTGGTGGAACTTGGGTCCTATCATCTAAAGGGGGGAACTGAGCGCGTTTCTCGAAGGATTTAACACAAGGCCCGAAAGGACAAATGTGCCTCGATACAGAGTAACGGGGGCGATGAGCGGTACATACACCCAATAATATGTACAGTAGGCTGAGAGGTTGGAAAGGCCCATAATTTTGGTTTGGGAAATTTCTGAGTTTGAGCGCTGTCAGGTCTTTCCTGTGGGGCGAGGCGTCTGACACACTGCTGCACGCTGTGCCTTGGAAGGTGTCAGAGAAGCCTTTGGAGAGAGTCGAGGCTGGCCATCCCCCGGGGTCTTTGGAGCCACTGGGAAGGTTTGGTCAAAGTCTGCAGTAACCCGGCCTTGGGAGTTTCAAGAAAATCTCAGGTCTGGGATTCGAACCATAGACATGTCTAAGCAGTATCGGAATATAACCAGGCCTTGGGAAGCTTCCGAAAACCTTTGCTTAGTTTACTTGCTCAAGTTTCAGCCCTGCCCTCGCTTGAGCATGCTTTTGGAATCTTTGTTAAAGCCAACCGGGGCATGGTGGTGTAACCAAAACTTGTCGAACCCTGGAGTTGGGCAAAGCGAACCCTGGCCTTAAGGGTCCCATGAGTCTCGTTTTTGAATTCGGGATTCCAGCCGAAACGGTTGGGGTTGGTCAGCCATGACCAACGGCGCCTCTGCCTACTTGGGAGGCCTTAACGCGGTCCCAGCAGCACCTCGACGCCTTGGGCGTCGCCCTCACCGCGCGCCTCGCTCGCTTCGGCGACGAAGAGGCGAGCGACGCAGCCTTGAGACAGGCGGCGGAGGCTCTGTGGAAGCGATGCCAATGGGAACCGCACCCAAAGGAGAAGCATGACTACAGCTCCTCAGCCTAAAGAGGGTCCATGTGCATTCGGTTTGTCATACATACTTGTGAAGTATTCATTTTGCTGTGCGTGTCTCGGTGGATGGTTGACACCTCACCTTTTCGTTCCAAGTTGATTGGCCTTTAGGCTTCCCAAAGGCCACCACTGCAGCTCGGTCCATCTGAGCTTCCTTTGTTGTTTTCGGCTGGCTTTTACGAGATCAGCTTCAAGGCAGAGTGGCTCCAGCAAAAGATTCCTGACGTGGGTTTCAACTGCATCACCTTGGGCTTGCCAGTTTGTTTGTTGCGTTTTCTTTCGGAGTGCTTGTAAAGATCCCTGTCAGCTGGCCATTGCAACTAGATGGACAAATTGGCCCATTTTTTGTTGTCGGCCCATCGCTTTGACAGCGTTCTGGCTTGAAAAGACTCAGGTTACTTCAGCACAGGTTTTAAGTTTGTTTCCTTGCTTGCTTGCTTGCTTGCTTGCTTTGCTTGCTTGTTGGTTTGTTTGTTTGTTTGCTTGCTTGCTTGTTTGTTTGTTTCTTTCTTTGTTTGTTTGTTTGTTTGTTTGGTTCTTTGTTTCTTTGTGTTCTTGCTTGCTAGCTGACTGGCTGCCTGCCTGGCTGGCTGCCTGGCTTTGGTTTTTCTGGTGTTGTTGATTTGCTTTCGGCGCAGGGGTTGGAGAAAGAGCCGGACCATTTTGCACTAGCTATAGCGAGGGGGCAAAACTAAGCTCATTGGTCAAGATCTGTTGCTTGAGACTTTTCACATTTCCGGTTTGCAAACCGTACCCAATTGCCCAGTGGCATCCTTTCTACTTTCTTCCCTTATTCAGCGAAGGGTTTCCCTTACAAGTCAACCAACAAGCCGCTTTTGCCCACGGAAAGCCACTGAGCTGAGTTTGCTTGCCGCTTGGCCGCGTGAGGCTTGCTGCATGCGATCCCCGAGGGCTGTGCCGAAGTCATCCACCAGGATCGGTGGGAGAACTTGCCCTAGCTGACTTGCTCAAAACCGGAATGTGGACACCCCCCGCTGCAGAAATAAGCAGACATAAAGAATGAAGGTGTGCATTGTGCATGTGAGTATCGTGCAACATATTGTACTACTTCGTATGGAGCAGTGCCGGGGGTGGTCAAACACTGAGCCGCTTCTGGAACCCGTTTCCATTTCTTGTTCAATACCGAGCGCTCAAACGTTTTTCGGAATGCATCACTTTGCTGAGTAAAATCACCTATTCCAAAAGTGGCCATCGAACATGGGGGTTCTTTTGGAGTCGTACGGGGTAAGAACACCCCAGCAGGGGTCCAACTAGATGATGCTGGTGCCTGTTTTGGCATCGCTGTCTAGAATTACTGGAAACATGCATGGGCCACAGATAGGGCCGATTCCTGTCATATACCTCATGCCCTTACATGCCCATAATATATATATATATATATATATATTAGTGGGTCTGTTTGGCTTTTCCTTGGACGCAAGGTCCACAAAAAGCAGGGGTTCGCACCAATGGCCCATGCAGCTTTCTCCTGGTCGGTAACCCCCTGCAAGTCAACATGGACCCACAAACGGCCAAAAGGTTGCATGAGGGCGTGTGTTTTGGGGAGGGTACCCGTTTTCTGTGTTTTTTTTTTTTTTTTCCCTTTTCCAGAAAACCAAAAGGACAACGCACCGGTGAGCCTCAGAAAGGCTTTGCAGCCCCTCACAGGACCCACCTCCAACTTCGTCGCTTCCGCCGCAGACTGGGCCGGTTCCTCCGCGGTATGAGCCTCGAATCAAAGCGGTGGATCCAACTCGGTTGCCCAAAGCGAATCGACCTTGTCACCTTTTGGTTTCCCCTTGTTGGTTCATGGTTATGCGACTAGCCCCTAGAAGGTGAACCTCGTATTTCCAGGTTCTTTCTGGGCAAGTGAGCCAAGAGTTTTTTGGGTACTGGACTTACAGGATTCCTTTTCACGGGTCGATTGATGGGGGGTGCGACCAATTGTCCAGGGATTTCATTTTTTTTTTGGCTTGCTTTTCTCAAACAGGACCCGACAAGTTCGACATTTAGGGCGTACAACACGGTTGGCTTTCCCAGTTGCCATTTGGGTGTGCATCAACAAAACAGAGGGCCCCCTAAATCATTGCTTCTTCTGTCGTTTCAAGGTTTCCAGGCTTCACCATCTTTCACCAGCGATGGCTATGGGGTGAAAAGGATGGCTTCAAAATCTGGCATCATCCCGGCTAGCATCCCCTCCAAACAATTGACCTGGGTCGACATCAATTGCACATGGGTGTGTCTCAAAATACGGGTACCCCAAAAACATGTGGTCCTTTTGGCTTCCCTTGAAAGGACGAAAGGTACCCAACTCCAAAGCAGACGCCAGCTGGGCTTAAGCCAAGTCCTGTGCCCGAGGAGCCCCAGCTGTGTGGGTCCAGCTGCCCGGTGGTGGATGCAAAGGGCGGCTTTGGGCCGGAGGTGCGGCGGCAGCTGGCCGCCTACTTCAACCCAAAGGCCGCAGATGGATGGCCCGCTTTTGTTTGTGTGTATATGTGTTTGTTTGTTTTTGTTGTTGTTGGTTTTTTTTTTGGGGGGGGGGGCTTTACGGAAAATAGAAAGGGGAAACACCCGTTTTTAGGGTTCGCACATTTTGAGACAAAGCCCAGATGCTATGGGGCCAGTGTTTTCAAATCACCCTTATCAGGCCTGCCTTTCTCAGGTATCCTTTGGCCTTAGGGGTCTATCTGCGAAGCATCAAGACAAAGGGGCGTTGGGGTTGCTGAGTTTGGATCCTTTGAAGACCCATGTTTTTTACCTTTCAGGCGCCCCGGCCTTGTATCATCAAGAACTTCCCCATCTTCCAACAAGCCGTGGAGAAGTGGGATGTGGCTTACCTGGCGCAGCACATGGGTGACCAGCTGTGCGCATGCCCAGTCGAAGCGGGACCCAGTTGAAGGGAAACCTCTGCGAAGCCCGTATTGCTGAATTTGTGCTCGCCGGCTTAGCTTAAACTTTCCCTTGCTTAAGCTTTAAGCTTTTTGTTGCCTGGTTGATGTTTTGCAATTGCCCACATGTTGTCTTCCTGTCTTTTCCTTGGTGTTGTCCGTGGCCGGATTCAACATCAGCCTTGTGTCCACCTATGCTACCCTTCTTCTTGTGGGCTTCTTTCTCTCTATTTCTTCGAGGTTTGTTCGTTATGTTGGGTCCTAAACTTTGAGCCAGTTCATATTTGTAGGACATAGCTGTCTTTTCCAGCTCAATTTACCAAGAAGCTGATTCTGTGGAAAACATCCACTTCGCATCAGCTGGGATTGATGACACCCGATGAATACAAAAAGCACCTAGCGAGTGGTGCGTTTTGTGGATGTTCTCCACTGCAAATCTATATTGATTATTAGCCTTCGGCAACCGAAACAGTGTGGATGCGTTTGTCTTCGGGGGGTACTTCTTGGTTGTTGGTTTTGAAGGGAAGCCAAGAAAAGCAAAGCCATTTTGTGGTCCACAATGTGGCTTGGTGTTTTGGAGTTTGCTGGTTTTGCATTGGCGCCAGGTACCATACCTTCGCCTCCAGCCAGGAGGGGGGGGGGGATCGGATATGGAATCGCCTCTCACTTTGGCAGAGGGTCAGGATGTCAGGTTATGTTCAAGCACGTTCCAAGGGTTCAGGCATGGCCGGCATCCCAACTGCGCCCACAAAAGCCTTATTCGAATGCTCGGGGTCCTAAACAGATTTGTTTCAAAGCCACGCTCTCAAATTTTGGAACTGAAAAGTCATCTTGTTTTCTTCTGAAGCTCGTTGGGTGAGGGCTGCTTCGCCAAGTGCCTTGCAATGTCAGGCGAAGTACCACTGTCATCCATGTAGCGGTGACCATCAATCAACAGTTGCTTTAGTGCGACAGGCGTGCTTGAATTTTTGAGACTAGCAACCAGCTTGCTTCATCACCAGCGAGAGAGCGCAACATTACAGACACCTTCCTGAAAGAGTTTCAAGCACCGCATCTCACCCAGCGTGTCTCCCTGCTTCAGGTCAATTGGTTTCGCGTTTCACTTGCATGCGTATGTAGCGTCGCTGATTTTGTTGTTGGTAGCTTGCATAGATTGCACTTTGTGACGCGCCAGAGATCTGGTTTCAGAGCTGTTGCGCGCAGTTTTGGCGGTGCCTGACCCCACTGACTAATTTGCTGGCACTGGGCAGCCCTGCCTTTAGACTTGTTTGCATGCGTGCAGCTGCAGCTTTGCAGAAACTATAGACAAACACGACGCACGGCTGGTTTTGCTTGCGGCTTCCATTTTCGACGGCAGCTCAACGCGTGGGCTCCTTTGGGCGACATTGGCCGGGAGCTTTCTAAATTCTAAACGTCCAGCTCCCTTTTGGCCCGAAGCGCTTCAAGAATCCGGAGTTTCCTGTCGGAGAATGTCTAGTTTTGGAAACGCTGCTGGTTTTGAGGCGGATTCGAAATTGGCTCCACCACGTTCACACCTGACTGTGAGCCTGCAAAAAGCAAAACCAACAACACGCATTGTGTTTTCCCTTTTTGCCGGCCTGTTTCAAGCACCCATCACCCATCTTTCTCGCGTTTAGGAGGAGCGACGCTTCGCGTACGCCTTCGACTGCCGGAACGAGGGCGGCTACGAGCCAGCGCGCATCGCCGAGGCTGTGGTGCCAATGAAACCCTTTCGAAAGTGAACAATCAATGTTGACCCGGGATTAGTCCACCGGTTTAATTAATAGGAGGGGAATGTTCCCCTCCAAAAGTGGACTGATTCCCCACTAATTCCATGGACTCCTTTTTCGTCAAACTGGGGATGATTCATCGGTGAACATCAGTCATGCGAATCAGACGGGATATGGGCGTGTCTCAAAATAGAGGACCCCTTTTCCTTTGTGGGTGTCCCTTCGAAACCGTCCAACAGGGGTACCCTCAGAAAAGAAAGAAGCCCAGAACGGAGTTATTCATACCGGGGGTTATTTCCCACTTCGGTTCCGTATCCATGCCAAGGCGTGCAAGATGACGTTTAAGGACTTCGTGGCCAAGCAGAAGGCCCAGGCAGGGCGCTGATACCCGAGCTGTGAGCTGTCACCAGCTCACCTTGAGTGTTTCTGCCTTGCTTCAAGTGCATTTGTTTTGTTGTTTAAGCTTCAGGGGTCCTACAACTGATGATGGTCAGCTACTTGGGATCCCTTTGTCCATTGGCAAAAGAGAGAGTGTGTCAACAAGATAAATCAAACTGTGTCAAGTTTTGGAGTTGCAGGTGGGTGAACCCAGATGGCCAATGCTCCCATTTTGGTCTTGTCATCCCCTTGCCCAAAGAGAATTGTGCCATGTATCGTCACCCTGGAGCAAGGAACCCTCAGGACTCAGGAGCCCACCAAGTAACCCAAAGGAACCCACCAGGTAGCCCAAAGCAACCCACCAGGAAACCCCAAACATTCCCAAACGAATCTCTGGCGTCGGGTGTATGTCAGAATTCGCAGATCAATGGGCGCATTTGGGTCGGCATGCTGTCAGGACGGGATGGCGTACTATCTGCAGACCCCGGTGCTGCGCTACGAGGAGATGACCAAAGTTCGGGTCCTTCCCCGCCCGTGTCAGGGGTCCTGATATGTCCTTCGTTCTTGGTTGTTTTGGCTTGGTAGCCTGTTTGAAACCCAAAGGTGAGGGGAAATATAGGGAACCCCTGTCATTGCTCAGAGAAAAGTTCAGGGGGGGAGGCTCCGACGGGGTGAGGCTTGGATGCAAAAGCAAGCAGAAAAAGCAAGAAGCAAAAGCACACCACTCTCCCTCGGCTGTCGCTTGGGGCACGGGGATTTGCAGCTCCGCCACAGCTCCGAAACGCAATGTCCAGGGCCCAAGCAAGCAAGTGTAGCAGGCTAATCTCCAAAGTTGCAAGTTAAGGCGCCAGGAACAGCACATCGTCTGATCAGATGGCAATTTGCTTGCGCTTGCGTGGTTCACATTTCCATAAGCTGAGCCCAGGGAACAAAGCGCCACACACACACCTCACAAGACTGGGCACCTCAACTGCATTTTTCACAAAGATGAACACTGCCCAAGATGCAAGCGGTTTCAGCTGATCTGTTTTTGTGCGAATTCTCCACTCGGATGAATTTCCCTTCTCGGGGTTTGCCTGCTCAAATGGCAAAACCTATTGAATCAACCTTCAACTATTCCGAACGTTGTCCAGCGATTGCAATAAACTATTCAATGGCAATGCCCAAGCGAAGAAGTTGCTTCCTTCCTTTAAGTATGAGCTGATCATGAGTTTTGCTTTTAAGGCGCCCCACAACCCCGTTCTATTCATTCATTCAGGCCCTTATCGCTACTGATTAATAATGGACAGAGCCAACAACACATCCATTTCTACCTATTGGGTGACGCATTTTAGTCCACGTCAACCTGCCAAGTTGAGAAACTCTTGCCCCCCCAATCAAAAATAACAAGAACATATGATTGCCATAGACGTGGAACTCACGACCAAGCCTCATTCGATCAGTGGCACCAAATATGTGTCGCTTTTTCTTTCGGGCCTTTCCCACAAAAACAAGGTCAGCCTAAGCAGGGGTTCCTGTGGAGCCCTCTTGTTCTACCAAAGGGCTGTTTCCACAACTTCACTGAAGAACTGGGACCCCATTTCGCCGGGTCACCGAGAAGGTTGACCCCAGAAAGATAAACTCCTCCCCCAAAAATAGGGGGGTGTTCTCCAACCAATCAGCTTCCCTCTGGTTGGTGGAGGTTTGGTGGTGTTCAAGTGGGTAGCTACTCATTTGCCCAGCTCCAAGTCCCAAGTTCCTCCACCAATCTAAGCCACCAACCAGGGGTACCCGAGATACGAACCAACGGGTCTCACCAATCTAAGCCACCGGGTACCTGAGATAGGACAACGTCATCACCTCAGCCAAGTTCGACGAGGCCTTGGAGGCGGACCTGCATACCATGGACCGCACTCTGGTGAACCAGCTGGCCGCCATAGGGCGCCACGGGGAGAAAACACGTGCAGAGTTCTTAAGGGACGAATTGACCCTTTGAGCCCCCAAAACCCATGGGGAAACGATAAGGGTCTCCCCCAAAAGCGAAAAAACACCTTGGAATCCAGAACAAGGGGCGGACACAAAAGTCTTCAAGCGCCCAAGTTTGGGAAGCAGCGAGGAAGTTCGGGCCGCTGAGCCGGAACCAACTCTTCGTGAGCTTCCGGGACTTTCTGACGGCAGTCCACTACGACCAGCAACACAACCTCTACCTTCAGCTCCGGGGCACCAAGAGGCGGGGATCGACCCAACGCCGGCGGCCATTCAGCGCACCCACCCACAAAAACCGACAAGAACCCACAAACACAACCTCAAGCACACACACACACTGACACCCACACACACACAAGGTGGGCAGAATAAACGAAAAAGGCCACAACGGGGATTTGTAGATCCCCGTGTAGGTCCCGGCCGGCAATGGGGAGAAAGATCGAGAAAGGATTGACCTCGGTTCAATTGCTTTGCGTCACGATTCCAACCACGATGTTGTTGAAGCACTTCGTGGAAGCCTTTGGAGTTGCGTTGATTTCCTCGAAAGGGGTTGAGATTTGCAAGCCGCTGGTGGGCCCCTTATATATGTTATTCCTGCGGCTCAGCTCCCCTGCCGATTGAAGCGGGTGGGGATGCAGTGGACAAGATGGGTGAGAATTTGGGGTCTAGACTGGGAGGTTCCTGCGCCTTGGGATTTTTGTTCGCCGAATTGAGAGAGAAGCCACGGGAAGGTTTCTAAGCGCCACAAGGAAGCAACAACCCATAGGGGATCCCCTTTTTGTGCACAGATGCCATGGCGACGCGCTGGGAATCCGGGAGTTAAAAGATACATTTTACAATTTTGAAACATGGTTTTTTCCACCAATATAAAGGCAAAGCACCATTGACAAGGCAATGTTCAGGTGCAGACGAAGTTGGCTCCAAATCTCGCCAGATTTTTGCTCTTCGATGTGGCTTGCGCGCCGGCGCTCTACCCCTACCCGGTGCACCACTCCCTGGATCGCAAGGCACCCGGTTAGGGCTATGCGGGCTGAACCGGGGGGTTGCTTCTTCTTGCTTCCCGAGTTTCTGGTGGCTCAATTTGGGAAGGCCATGTTACTGGGAAACAGTATAAGTTTGGATGTCTTCTTTGTTTTTGTGGGGGAGGCCAATTTTGGGCTAAAGTGTTAACCGTAGGTGGTCGCTTGTCTTGACTCTTTGTAAGTGTCCACTTGGGCCACCATTTTGGCTCAAGTGGGCACTTCCCTTCTGTCTTGGAATCTGAAATTTCTCATTCCCCTCCTATCAAAGCCATGTACACCCCCGCCTATGCTGGTGCCGCGGTTGCAGAGGCTAAGGCGAAGGCGAAGGCATCCATGGCGAAGTACCTGGCAAGCCTTGTGAAAAAGGAGGAAGAAGGTTGGACCGTCCTGGCGGCTGAGGTCCCTCAGGCACCGGACGAACGGTTCTTCTCCAGCGCCGACGAGCTGGAGCAAGCCCCACTCATCCCAGCCAAGCGTAAGGCCGAGGACGAGCTGATGGCGGACTCCCCCCCTGGGGTGGCGCAGGTGCCGAAGGCCCTGACACGCCCCCCAGGGGCGTTCCTGGAGCTTCTCGACCCTCCAGAGCCGGATGTTCCCATGGAGGAACTCCTGGCGGAAGACGAGGAGGAGCCCCCGATGGAGGAACCCCTGGCGGAAGATGAGGTGGACCCCCCGATGTCCGACACCAAGTGGCAGGGACGCCAGGACCTGATGGAAAAGGCCAGGGCGCAGGTGTCCTCAGAGGGGGATGAGGACCCCGCAGCCCCCCCGCCAGGGGGAAGCGTCTTCATGAAGGCCCTCAAAGTCTCTGAGGGCCTTTACCAATTCAGTGCGGACCAGATGGCGGGCGACTTCCAGTGTTTTGATGGGACCACGGCCGCCAGGCTCCGACGACTGCAGGCCAAGGATGTCCAGCGGCTCTTGAGAGGCTTTGAGGGCCCCCAACTCAAGCAGGGGGGCCTGGAGCGCGTGGTGGAGGCGTTCTACATCGCCAAGATGAAGTATGAGCATGAGGCCCTGCTCAGCACCCCGGGACAGAAGGTTGGCAAGCGCGCTGGCCTGGGGTATGGGGGCCTGGAGAACCGCCCCCTGGGTAAGGAGCCCACATCCTGGATCTGCCCCTGCTGCACCATGCCCTGGGTGAAGAAGGGCGCCAGGAAGTGTATGGGGTGCGGCAAAAAGACGGAGCCCATCGACACGGCGTCCAACTTGGCCACCCTGGAAATGGCGGGCACGCACTGGCAGCTGACAGTGGATGACCAGGGCAATGCGGTCTGGACGGCGGCCCGGTCCGCAGGTGCCGATGGCCCTGATACGGACCGGGCCCGCGACCTCAAGCTCAGCGCCTCGGTGGATGTCAGCGAGCTGGCCACCGACCCAATGGCATGCGAGAACCTGGACCAGGCCAGCTTCTCGGATTTTGTCCCCTCCTCGGTCCGGGCGGTGATCAGGAACTGCCCCATGGAGCTGGACGAGGATTTCCTGACGGCCCCAATGGGGGAAAGGCCCCCGTTGCCGGGCGACAAGGAAGAGGGCCAGGAGTGCAGGGCCTTCCACCCGTCGGCAGTGAAGGCCTTCAAGATCCAGACCCGGCTCAACGCCACCACCATCGCCCAGGAAGAGGCCAAGAAGGCAGACCAGGTGGCAGCGGTGGAGCGATCCGCGGCGGTCCTCCACGAGCTCCAAGGAGGGGCCATCGATGGAGGAGGCGATGGGGGACAACTCCTCAAGAATTTGGACTTGGACCTTTTCCGCGAGAAACTGCTGGATAAGCTGGGCGCGGACTGGGGGAGGCCCACACCGGAGCTCCTCCAGGCCCAGACCACTGCGGAAGAGGCGAAGGCAAAGCACCAGGCCAGACAAGCGAAGGGCGCCCTCGAGACCAGAATGCTCGAGCCCATCAAGCCTCCATTCAGTGCGTGGCCTAGCGAGGTCCGAGTTGCCATTGAGACAGGGGTCTTTGAGCCGACCACGGCATGGAGGGATTTCAGCATGGACGACCTCACGTCCCTCACGGACTCTTACCTCGAAGCCAAGGCGGTCATCTCGCTGGGTAGGAACCCCTTTCCGGGGGCCCTCCTGGCAGATCTGCCGGATCTGGCGGGGATCCCCATTCCAAAGGCGGGGGGCTCTGGTGCGGCGCGCCCAGGTGCCGAGGGCCCTGACAGGCAGCCCACCATCCCCCCAGCTTCGGGCTCTGGTGCGACGAGCTCAGGTGCCGAGGGCCCTGACAAGCCGTCCGCCACCCCGGGGGGCCTGGACACCCAGGACCCGGAGGTGCAGCTCGCGGTCCTGCGCTGGATGATGAGCAAGCGTGTCGGAGAGGTCCGCATCTTTGCGGGCCGCTGGGTCCGACGACCGGGGCCCGTACACGTCCCGGACTGGGCCAACAACCTCACCAAGGTGAATCCGGAGGCGCTGGAAAAGGGTACGCATCCCAGGAACCACCAGGCGGGTGGACTCCCATGGGCCAGGTACTCCGTTGAGGAGCTGAACCAGCAGGCCAAGGCGGGGGACCGACCATACCCCGAGAACCTGCGATCCATCTTCTGGGCGGCCCCCACGATCCGGAGGAGGACTTCCACTGGGCGCGCCAGATCTCGTCCTGGACACTCCCAGGCTTGCTGGGGATGTTTGGTCACAGCTTCACTCTGCGCCAGCTCTGGGGAGTCTGGGAGTCTCTGCCATTGCTTCAGGGCCCTAGACAGCGGGGCCCGAAGAACAAGGCCCAGAATCAGATCCGCCTGGAAGGCTGGGAGACCCTGAAGGAAGATGCTCGGTGCTTCCTGAAGGAGGAGGGCCTTCCGCTTCCGCAGACAGGACCGGAGTGGCGCCTGGTCTACCGGGCCATGGGCAAGGTCCTTGCGGCCCGGGCCTTCCTCACGGACACCCCGGCGGAGGTAATGCAGCTCCCGGTCCAGGACGTGGCGGACTCCAAGGAACAGATGATCCTCCGGGCGGTATGTGATGAGCGCATATCGGTCCCGGTGGAGAGTCTCCAGCAGTTCCCAGAGGTGTACCAGGCCCTCATGGACCGCATTGGAGGCCCGGGGGCCCTGGCGGAGGTGAAAGTCAACTGGCGCTGCAACACGAAGCAGTGGTGGGTCGGCGCAGTCCCCGACTCAGTGGCCCCCTCCATCTACCGCAAGCTTGGCTACACCAACGACATGATCAAGCTGATGGGCCTGGACCCCTCCGCCCCCGGGTGCCGGACAGGTGCCGATGGCCCTGACATCCGCCCCAGGGGAGGAGAGGGCGATGAGGGGATCGTCTACCCCCCCATCACATCGGACAACGTCCACGGCGTGGTGGGCAAGGATTACAAGAAGAAGAACTTCTCGGCAGAGACGAAGCACGTCTTCTGGGCGCACATGGAGTGCGGCCTGGTTCTGAGCTCAGTCACCCCATGGGAGCTCATCCCCAAGACGAAGGGGGAGACCCGGGGGGGCTATATGTGCAAGTACTGCAAGGGGTACTGGCGCGCCGGGGGAGGGGGCACTCGCCTCCTCCAGATCCGGGCCGGCAAGGCCATCCTTCAGCTGGTGCTGGACGAGCCGCCCGATGGACTGTACAACCGCTGGGTCAAGGAACGGCTGGAGTTCTACCGCCGGGTAGAGCCGTCTGCCCCGCTGCGGGATGTCTCCGTGGTGGACCAGAAAGTCCCACGGTTTAGGTTCAGCCACGTCACCCAGACCGGCCATGTTTCAGATGCCATCTGGGAGCTGATTCTCCGGAACCCGGAGGCGGCGGCGCTCAAGCGCATTGACGACATTGCCAAGGGGGCCGTGTGATCATGCAGCACTGCGGCCATCCGGAACGGACTCGCAGGGCACCCCGGGGGAGGACAGCTGCCGATGGCGCTGATATCCCCCCCGGGCACAGCACAGGCCTTGACCTGTACCAGGCGAGAAAAATGGGCGCGCTTGGGCTGGTCCGGAGTGCGCCTGGGCTCCCCCCCCTCGTTTGGTTTTTCCCTTTCCGTGGAGGCTCCCCGGGTCCCCCCCCCCGTTTTCGGGTTTGGCTTTCCGGGGTTTTGGGGCCCCCCCCTGTTGTTGGGTTGGGGTTGGCGCCTAGAGATTTGGCTCCGGGCTCGAGTGGATCATGATGATGTGGAGGCCCCGCCTCCCTTCCCCGTTTGGAACGACCTTCCTAGGGGTCCCAACCGCGGTCCAGTTGATTTTGCATGACCTTGGATTTGCACCAGTGCAGTCGGACGGGGAAATCCTCGTGGCGTGCTGCCTGGAATGGGTCAAAAAGGACCAGGTTGCCAACCCGGATGCGGTGGTCTTCGACCCGCGACCGTGGACACGAATCGTGGGGATGGCACCCGACGATAACCATGTCCTGGTGGCCTCGGACACCTACAACTTGATCCTCGCAAGGATACTCGGCTCCCAACCACAACCGCTGGAGGAGGCGGATTTGGAGCTCGCTACTAAGACCCTGCAGCAACTTCTGTTTCGTGCGGCAGGCGCTAGACAATCGTACACCTATTCTCCACTGGAAATGGAACAGGCCATCCGGGACCGTGAGGAGTGGATCCTCTCCGGATCGATTGAGGCCCCGGATGTCCTGGCAGTGGCCAACAAGTGGCGGCATTGGAAACCAGGGAAGATCAAAACCCAACTGCCGACATCCCAACGAGCGTTGGAACAGCACTTGAGGGCCAGGTGGCTGGAACGCCTCCTGGGCTACTTCATTCCCTTCCGCCACCAGATCCCCTACATGCACCAGGTGATGGGGGCCAAGGAGCTGGAGGAGTTTGGCCACCTGTTCGGAGATGCCCGTTTCCGGACCATCCGAGCACATTGCTTGGCCTATGAGGGCATGCGCAAGATCGGCTTCCAGAACCTCCCCTGGACGGCCGGGGACGTACGGCACCTCATGAACCAGGCGGTCACGCTGGAGGTCACCCCGGCGAAGCTCCAGAAGTGGTGGGGCACTTTAAAGTGGCTCTCCATTAAACTCGGCATGCTCAACGTTGA